GGCTCACCTATACATGCAGCTGACTTTGGCTGCTGCTGCTGCCGCCGTTGCTGCGTGCTGCCGCTGTGTTCCTTGCTTTATGCTCTACATATCTATGTATGTATGCACGTACGTGTGAGAGTACGTAGCGATGGTGTGTATATATACACGGAGAGCCGAGAGCAGCTAGCTCCCCCGAAACGCCGCAGCTCTACTTAATATTACAGAGTATTACCCCCTGCATCGAGGCCTAGACAGCGCCAGCTGCGAAATCATATATTCGCGAGCTAGCTTCGAGTTACTTTAGCCTGCGGCCCATAATGGCTACGTAATACAGTCGTTTCCCTCCAAAAATACATTGATACACCCGCGTATATTATATGGCGAGTTTATTATGCAAACGTTGCTGGACTATGCGTTAACAAACGCAAAATGTACCAGGCTACCTTTAAACAAACCACCTAAGAATTGCTTTTCACTCGCTATGTTTATACGAAATTCGGATCACGCGTAAATTTTTGCATCCACGCAGTGAGAGAGAGACGTAGATGGATAGAGATATGTATACATATAGCATAGACGCTATAAATGTACGATGTGGATAGTTGGAGCACGTAATTTTGAAGCGACTGTTCGAAGGATCGGCATAGATCCGAGAAAATTTCATCTCATACCCAGTAGCGTGTGCGCACGCTGATCGTCAATTCGGATATGCGCTCTGCGTAGGCAACGTCGTTTGATGATGTATGCATTCGTCTGCGTGCTTTCCACTAGCTATATCATCACGTATAGATGCAGCTCCAACAACCTGTGATCTACGCTTCGCTCAAATTGTTTATGTTTTCTGCGGTATAACGTTGTTAAGCATTTTTTCATGTCAATTTGTTTATTTATTTATTTATCTATTTTGACCGCTTGTACAATCTCAAAAATATGAATTTTCGAAGACAGGTACTCATCAATCGTATATTTTTCTTCTTTATTATCATAAATCAATTGAGCAAACGATCGCCCGCCTCGACTAATTAATGTATAGTGATTAAGACTGTAGGTAAATGGTCTGAATGTTTGATGAGGAGATTTTTCATTGATTTTGTTTGTCAAGGGCTCAGTAGTCGTGAGTTAGTACCGAGACATCTTCTTACGCGCAAAAGGGAGAAAAAGGAGTCCAGCTAACTTATAAAAAATTAAAGATTAGCAAAGGCGAGTCTGCCTCCAGAGGTTCCAAATAACGTGAAACACGAACACAGAACCTTCGCGACCCTCTTTTTCACTTTGGCGAAGTGCGCGCAGCTATCGAGATCGGGTGGATTCCTCTTCAGTCGACTTTCGATTCTAGGCTTTATTTATAATGTATGTATATGCGCGTCTATATACACGCAAGGCACACATACGTATACAAAGTCTCATGTACGTGCATAGACATTCTTAGGCCGAACGTGCGAGTTATACGTGTTCGCATGTAGACGTGTCGGTCGTACGACTCAGCTTGTCGCTCGAACTATACATCGACTCTTCTCGCTACCTTTTTTATACGTGCTCGTTGCTTTTCTCTCACTCACTCGCTCGATCCTTCAGAAAAACGTTTTACTAGTGAGCAAAAGCTACCTACACATACGAACGTCTATATTTTAAAAACATGTTTCAAAGTCGGTATTTTCGAATGGCTCAAGAAGAGACTGCCGCGACGATTGAGCCGACTAGTTTTGTGCCTCTGCAGAGAAAAGGTCAACATCGTCCGAGTAATGTTAGCTGCGAGCTTGTAGAAATCTCACTCGCAACTCACAATTTGTCCAAAGTCCGTGCGAGCCAGCGAGGAAGCTGTTGCACGTACGAAGCTAGCTTCTGGCCTCCATACGTGGGATGCACGTTGCTCGTGAATATTAATTTTTAATATTTGTGCTCTTACTTTGCGCAGTCTCTCTCTCTCTCTCACTCTCTTCTCGATAATATACCGAACGCATACACATACGTTTGCTGCTTAATGTTTACTAAACCTCTGAATTATGTAGAGTACGTTTTGGACGAGCTCGTGCATATATGTACACTGGCAATATGCACTTTAAGCATCCCACGGATTCTCATGAAAGCATTTATTTTGCTAAAACTTACAAGTAATGTTCTGTAACAATAGGTAATACATGCCATTTAAATTAAATGTTCGATGCTTACGGTTAATAAAAATACATTTAAAATCTGCAAATATAATAATAAATATTTTAATTAATCATCTTTTCCATGAACGTTTTATTTCAAAGATAAATTTTAATTCGAGAAATTCGAGCGAAAAAACTTATCGTTACGAAAAGAACGTTTAGAGCGCTAGAAAATTATTACTCCATAAAGCAGCGGTCAATTTTCCAATACAGCTGCTAATTACGTGGGCTTAAATCTCTCATAGATAATGAAATCAATGAGTAAACAAACAAATACTTATAGAATTGATTAATTTTTAATATTTGGACGAAATATCGAATTATCGAAAACGAGACTAAATTCAATCGACTTTTCAGTCCTTTGATTGACGAACTAGGATGTTCATTTGAGTTAGACCCTGCACAAACGAATGTGGCAAATAATACTTTCTCGGCACGTGTGTCTTTTATATTTACTTTTATCGGCTGCACAGCTGTAATGTGTCTGTTACGCTGTACCTACAGTTCACAGTTTACTGATACTCGTCTGCAAGCTTCATCTAACTTCTTTTTTCGTGATCTTTCTTTCTGTGTGTCCGTCTTTTTTCTCATCCCTTTCTCCCTTTCCATCTTTTTCTATACGCTCAAGCACCCTCGTTAAGCGCCGACGTGTTCGATTTTCGAATGGTTGGGTTTTTGGTGAACATTATTTTCGGGCTGCAAATCGGTGGTAGCTTCCCCCTCCATCGACTAATCAACCGCGATCGAGATACTTTTTTTATTTTTCCCATCTCTCTCATTTTGCTTCTATCCTTATTGTTTAATGAGATTAAGCCAAACGAAGCAGCGTCTTTTTTCAAGACCATTCTTCTTTTTTTTAATCTTTTCAAATAATTTTGCTCAGTTGTATATGTGAGTGTATACTCTGAACTTTATTTTTGATATTTTGATTGTTGTTAAAGAAACTGCATCATTCTCGAAGATCAACAATTATTACATGAAATTTTAATTTTTTTAATCGCAATATAATAAAAAATTGTATGGTGCATAATATATTTCGATTTTTTTGACACTTTCTATAAGAGTTTATTACTACCAATCAACTATAATCTGATAATTGTACTTTTCAATCTTTCTCTTCTGATCGGTAACCTTGCTGTATTTTTTCTATTTTGATTCCATTGAATACGATTAGCTGAGAACATAATACTGCTTTTAAAGTTTTTTCAAACCTTGCACAGTTGGCATTGCGTCTGGATTATTTGAATTGATTTGAAGGTTGTGCGAAATTCCACATATATATCGGAGGCGATGTATTGTTAAGTGAAATAGTTTTTATTAGTAAATTTAAAAAATAATAATTTTTCAAACATCGTGCATGAAATCATGCAGTTACATACTTCATTTATATAGTTATTAAAGCAATCCATAAACAGAAACAGTCTTTCACAACAATAAATAAAAATTAATTTTAGAAAAGGAATTGTCCATTATAGAGAAAAATGCAAATGCTTTAAGGGGGTTCAATTTTCAAGCATTCTCTTTCAATAAACTATATTTCTTAAATTTTACAACTCCAGGTTCGTAAATTTTAAAAAAACACTATATAATTCCTTACATCCATAGTTGCGAATAGTATTGAAAATGTACCTTTGTTCAAAGATGACATCAAAAAGAGGTAAAATTAATGACACTTGACTGCTGTTTGTTCTTTATTACCTCCAGGATCGGTTCCGATTTACTTCTCCAAGATTATTTGAGAAAAAACCTGTCTGCTCATCAGCCTTCAAGCGCTTACATTAAATTCCAATAAATAAAAATAGAACAAACTAATATTTTGCATAAACTATAGCTTTCTTGTAGTTTTGTAATCTACTATGAAGTATAAAAAAATTATTTAGAAAAATTTTCTCAAAGTTATTACAGTGTAAAATAAAGTATAGAATTATATAAATGCTTAAATATGAATAAGTGCTGATACCGAAATAAAATTGGAGGCTTAAAACTTATTTTCTGAAATTTGTAATAAAAATTTTCCTGACGTGTTTAAATATTTAAGTGTAAAATGAAGGAAAAATATTCAGTAGAAATATCAGAAGTCAATTTTAAAAATTTTTATTTTTTGATTAAAAAATTTTTAAAACAATATTTAAAAGAAAGGTAAGAAATACATATTATTACTTATTACCTAAATCGTAGGTAAACAAATAATTTGTTTTTAAATTTTTATTTCTAGTAAATATATTTAATTAACTTTGTGCTTATCGTTTCTCATTTTCATAAAAGTAATATCTAGAAGGTTTTCATCAAGTTTCAATATCATTTCCTAAATATTTTATGCATTCAAATGGTAGTTGATGTAGTCAATTTTGACTTGTCGAATTTGTAATTCCTTTGAACTATTTTTGAAAGTAAAACTCGCGAGAAATAGAGTGTCAGACCAGTGATATATACAAGAGTATAAAGGAGAAACTCGCGTTGCAGGCCATTATCATTTATATGAAAACCTTCGCATCCCTTATGCATAGTCATTATCGTATTTTTTACTTTTCTATTTGCTCTCAGATCATAGCGATTAATACAATACTTTTTCAGTATTTATGGTAGATGATGGATTGTAGAAGAATTTTAATTAAAATGTTTTTCACATTGAAATTTTACGCCCGCTTATTTGTAAAATTTTGATCGACAAATTTATATGAAACTTATATGATATGAACGATTTTTTATTTTTCAAAGGAAAATTCAACGATTGGTTTCTTTTTATAATTGACTATTTCGTTGACTTTTAAATGAAGGGTTTGAAAAAAATGTACACAAAATAGTTAAATGATTAATTAAAATTTATTTGGTTAGTATTTTTTTAACATCAAATTATAATGGCGATATCACAAAATGTCTGGCAAATTTTTTTGAGAGTACACAAAATCCCTCTTTACTCGTACTTTTGATCATTTTTAGAAGTTATTTTACAAATAAAAAACAAAATATTTATTCTTACATTAATTTTTTATGTCTTACATTATGAAAAATAACAGATGATGGAAAAAACAAATCTTCATTGATGCAAGTATGTTGTTTTATGTGTGAAAATCCAAGTAATCATAAACGAGCGAGGTACAGTGCTTTTACAATACAATTAATTGAATGTTCCTGTAGTGGGAAATGTGAAAACTAACATAGAAAACTACCCACTTGTTGATTTTCTATTTTTATTGTAATGATTCTGATTTAGGGACACTGACTTACTATTCGATTTGATATCTATTGATAAGAATATACATACTTAAGCACAAGGTGATATTTCATATGGAATACTCCTGTCGCTCTCAACAATATTCATTATTTTTCGCAAGCTTAGCAATTACTTATATAAATATATTCACATTATTTTATTTACAGGATAAAATATGAATTATGTACTCGCAACAAAATGGTATTTTATTTGATTATTAATTATATGTTCTAAACAAATACTGGACGTACACAATGCCGGATGATTTTTTTTAAATTGCTGACTAATTCCTTATTCTATCATGTGATTACAGTTTATTGCATTACAATAATAACTAAGATACGTTAAAAATAAGACTCGAGTAACAAGAAAATTACATTCATACATTTTTAATGTTCAACCATTTTTTTAAATCATATAGTGATTTTCGTGCTAAAATGTACAAATAACATGAAATATTGCAAAGTTGTATATAATTTGGCACTTTTTACTATTTGAAAATATTTACATCACATGTCACTAAAATAAAATAAATTTTCACCGAAAAAACTTTTTCTTGCACACAATTAAAACGCAATATTATACCACGCTTATAGATAGTTATTATTTTATCGGTATAGTTCGTAATATTACCTTAGTATGATTACACTTTTTAACCGGCGAAAACTGATAAGATAATTTTTATTTTGTATATTTGTACACATAACTATGATTAATTTATACACAATTCTATTTACAATTATTTTAAGCATAAATATATTAATACAATCTCAACATAAAAGCATAAATTCAAATGGTATATTTTATTTTGCAATCAGATTTCAAGCACCAAGAACTTATTTTATAAAATTATTTTTCCAATTATTTTTTCTATAATTTATTAATTATAAGCATCATCTGTTTTAACATATAGCATTTCAAAGTAAGCGATAATACTTTCAATCGTTTTTATGTTACTGTCTGTCAAATACGACGAAACATTTCAAATGTCATAATTTTTTAGATTTCAATCTAAGCTAATATAACCATGTGCTTTCATTGAATACCATCAGATATGACTTATTCAGCGTTTGAACACGTTTTTGTTTTTTTTTCATACGTGTCACAATTTATTACTTTTTTTCCTTGGAGAGTATTAAATGCAAAAAAATTGCTTGCCTAAAATTCAGTTATTAAAAGATCTGATGCGTTTCCATACGCAACAGGTGAAAAAATCTTGCAAAAAATGAGATACATGACAGATGTGAATCAAATTAAACATTAAAAGTTCTATCGCGTTAAACTCGTGTTAAATAAAATCGCGTGTATGCTTCATCTAAAAGGCTTGGCACCAACTTTAATGGATCTGCGCGGAAGTAGGTTCATTTGAAGGTGTAACTCTTTAACTCAATAACGAAAAAGAACGAAGAGGCAAGATAGATTCTGTTTCTGCGGCGAAGAGAAGAAGAGAGAACGAGAAGTGAGTAAGTTGAACTCGTGCGTGAATTAATTCTTGCGCATATGTATGGGTGTATATAGGCAGAAAGGTTGAGGGAGTCAGAACTAACGCAGTGTCTGCTTATTTAGCACTTTCACTAAATAGGGAATGGGGGTAAAGACTTTGTCTTTCGCTCTTTTTCTTCGACAGTCGCGTTCGCGACCACGAGAAGTTAGTTAGTTTGACTGTCAAAGCGCTTGGTCGAGCTTTTGCGGCCAACGAAATTGACGTTGGTGCGCGCGTCTGTCGTCCATGTGCGCAAGTGGATTTTACTGGTCTCCCACGAAAATTTCGCTAACTCTCATTCGGAATCATTGCTGTGCGCTAGCTTACTAGATGCCAGATGCAACAGTCTAACTTATTAGCAAATCCAGGACCAAGACCTTTTTGCACCCTAGTCCGTTTGATGTCTCGATCCGGCTAATATAGTTTGCTCTTATCGCACATGAACAATTCCACAGTTTACTTTGAACTAGCAAAATTTGAATTTTACCTACTGCATGCATATTGAAAGCAATGAAAAAAAAAATGAAAATAAATTTATCTGAAAGTGAGAAGGTACAGAATTGTTTTTTCTGTTACTACAAAATTGATAGATGTTAGGTCAAATGGAATATTATGATTAAGCTAATACTAAAAATTTTTTTCTACTCGTTTGAAGTCGGAGGTCATCCTGAGGGTACTATATTTAACTTTAAATACAAACTAAGCACAACTGTAGGGAAAACCCATGCGCTCGTCATTTCATGTTCGCGCAGTGTAAGCGTTTTTCTTGTTCTGCCCATAGCAACTTATACTTATGATAGTGGTATTAATTTACTTTTTGCGTGAATTTTCAAATGCAGAGTCATGAGAATAGGGAATTTTTCGGATTTGTCGCGAGAAATTTACTCATTAAAAAAGGTTACAGCGATTGTTGCGTATTTGTTGTTATGACTGTTCCCCGGACAAGAGCAGCAGTAACCTAGCATAACAAAGAGTAATAAAAGTGTGTTGGAGTGAAAAGTAAAGAAAAAGCAGCTAGCGTTAAAGTCGAAGAAAGAAAAAAGATGAGCACTCTTAACGTACACGGCAAGGGGATGAGTTTATGTTTCACGAGTGACATGTGATGTACATTAACTCGGAGTCAAATGTATAAGTGCGTATGTGAGTATATTTAGATATTTCTGTACTTTCGTTGGTGCTCTTGGGCCATGCTCATGCGCCCAAGAGTGCTACGTGTTCGAGCTTAACTTAAGCCTGAAACGCTTGCAGTAGCGCGTGGAGCGCAGGATAGATCTTTGTTCGATGGGACTACATTAAGCGTCGTTTGGCTCAAATTCACATTGACATAAGCCAATGCAGATGCTTCGTTAACGAGTTTAGGCTAATGCATCATCCTCTGAAGCTCTAATACTCATCTGCCGTGTCATATTCGGAGAACTGATACCCCTCAATTATTTTATCAATTTGTCCTTTTTTTTATCGTTCGTTCGCATGATTAGTTCAAATTGCCTCGAGAGCATTTTGGCAAATTTTCAGACAAGCAAGTATTAAATACCAGGAAAAAATATTTTCCTCCGTTTATCTGGAAAAAAATGTGATGCATGATACTCCGGTACGTCTATGTTTTGGCGTGCTATTGTAGAACGAAGCGACACTTTATTACGTTGTGGGCGGACGGGTAATGCTGCTCGTAAAATTGACTTGGTTGTTGGGCTGAGAGAAGAAGCGCGAGCGACGCTCCCAAATAGACCAAGTCGCATTGCGTAATAGCTCATAAATAGTAAGAAGTCTAGATCTTTTGGAAAATAATCCTCGCGTAAACGCTTGCTTCGATGTTTTTAAACGCCTTCAGACACGTACGCTATTGTAAATTTACGTACTTTCGTACAGCTGGACGATATACGTTATTGGGCGTTTCGAAATGGCACAGACTACACCAATTGCTGCGCAAAAGTGAAAAAACAAATTAACTCGAATAGCCGCAACTGAGCATCGGAAATATCTGTACGATCTCTGTATCGGCTGCAAAAATCAAAGATTACAATGTCATTAGTAAATCGATTCAGCGGCGACGCGCAACACACGACACGGACGCGCGCGCAATATTATCAAGTAAAATAACTCCATACAATCAGGAGTAACCGCAAATAGCGCGAATTAAAATGGCATACATGAAAGCTATCGCAAAGCTGAAAATGTTTACAGCGCGACTCGTAACGAAATATATCATCCATAAAATTCACGTGGCGCGGGTCAGGCAAAACTTGCAAGTCACGCGAGCGCGACACACAAAGTATCCTCGGGTTAGCTCAGATTCAGCGATGCTCTCACCGAGATGCCGCTACATTACGGGGCGAATTTGCGTAAACTTTATATTATGTTGACAAGGGCTTCGGGGGAGGAGCTGCGATACGCGAACAAGTTGTACGTTTTGTAGAAACGTTTGCATTGTAAATGGTAATGTCGCTGACGACGAGCAGCTCTCCAGTTGCGTGGACACGGCATCAGCAGCAGCCGTGCACAAAGCTTCAATGGCGCCGAATGGCCACTGATACGCAATGACCATTAAACGGCCTCCAGTAGGCAGTATATAAATATGAACATGCGTGAGCTGCTGGAAACGCGTGCGTGTGTAGTGCTGCGACTGCACATAGGTGTATACGCGTTATACGTAACGGCGTCAACGTGGCAGTATCTCTGTTACAGGTCGGTTGGCGCGGACTGTGGGACGCTTACGCGTCGCTTAACATAATCCTGCAGCATCCCTTCGCACGACGAGTCACCGGCACACTATAGATTACCGTCCGATACTACCCCCTAGCGTACGCCGCGTGCGTGCAGTCGTTTCATATTCGCGCGCCATCTCTCTCTCTCCCTCCCTCCCACTCTCCGTGTATCTCTCCGCGCGCTATATTAGCAGACTGGGAATCCGGGGATCACTGTCCGCGAGATGCGGAATTTAACGCTTCCTCTGTGCCTCCGCATCACGCACGGACACTTCCGCCGGCTGAGCTTCTTATCGGCCGCACAGCTTTTGTCGAGCCTTGTCTACGCGCGCCTTTCATGCCTGCGTACTACGATCCTGACGTAAACGACTTTCATCGGGCTTTTTCAATGACAAAACGAGCTTTCACTGCGAAACCATCATTGTCTATGCATACTTTTGAGAGTTTGACTTTTTTTTTATCATTCATCTCGTTGCACGGTGAGTACTAACGTGCGTCGAAGAATGAAAACGATGAAGCTTTGCTGTGGAAAGCAGAATTAATTCGACTAACAATTTGCAGGTGTACGAGTAAGCTGCGGAAACTTTGTTATGACTGGAAAGTTGGCAGTCAAACGCATAATTGCTTTAATGAAAACCATTTATGTGCTCGTTGGTGCCGTAAAACATATTGTCCAGAACTATTGAATTGGCTTTAGAAATATACTCTAAACTCTACTACCGTGAAACAAAAATACATCGACTGATCAATCGAGCATAATCAAGACCATTCAATTGAAATGTTTCGTTATTTATATTTTTGATATAATAGAGATAAGAAGTGATGGCATTTATACAATATTCTAGTTATATCACAAAAATGTTTCCTTGATTATTTTTAACTTTTGTTTGATTTATGACAATATTAAAGTGATTCACTGCCGAAGACTAAGATAATATTTTGTGTTAATTAAAATTTGTTTCCTATCATTTCAATTTCAATTCGATAAGATTCATCTAGTAAAAAAAGTAAGGAATATCAATCCTCCAAAACTTGAAAGCGGCAAATATAAATAGAAGTAGTCGTGTTTTTTTTAAGTTATAATATATTTTTCAAGTTTTTTTTCAAAAATTGTACTGAAGTCTAATTAAATACTTTCATGGAATTTTGTATATTTATTGGCAGTCGATGCAAACTTGCACCCTTCAAATTGACATAAAAATATACCGATGTACGCAAAGTTTTTTTCGATACACAGTATTATAAAACTTTTTATGTTTCGTTACCAAATTAGCAATATCTTGAGGTATTCAATCAATATAAGCGTTTTCTATATCAAATTTACAAATGTTCCTCTACTTTTCACGATTTCACCATGAAAACTGTAAGAATAAATCGAGCTCATCACCTCTTACACTTTGTAGAACAACGAAAAGCGATGATTCATGATTGGCGTCACATAACGAGTGGCACGATCCTTGAGAGCAGAGAATGTGCCGAACTAACATGGCGAATTCGTATGGCTTCCAAGAGAATATTGGCATTAAAATAGAATTACCAAGTTGTCACAAGACTTGGTATGCTGACTGTTGACGATCGGCTGTCGTTTCTGAAAAGCACGAAGCGAAGCAGACATGATCATTTTAATACATGCATTATTAATGTAATATGAAAGTCGTACATAACATAAAATTTGGGTGCACATCATAGTTATACGGTTGGAATAAAATGGAAAAAAATATCAACATGCAGAGAGGGGGCTGTGCGCGTGCTTCTTCTTTTACTTTTATTTTTGTTTGCTTGACGTAACTGAAGACTCAAGAGAGATATTTTCTCGTGACCTCACATGTCATTCTAAAGTAAAATTTTAGCATGTAAAATTCAAAGAAGCGCGTGCAAGCATAAAACATAATACAGCGCAGTAGTCTCGAAGGATGCTGGCGCTGGCGCAGCTATAGCACTCACAAATTCAGTGATGAAACGACGTCGACGACGACGAGAAAGAAGCGCTCACTCAATTCGCGGTCTGAGGAACATAAGGCGGTATGTACGGCCCAGTCAAGATGTACTGCACAGCGACGACCATCAGCTGAGGTGCACTCCATCTGATGATGTATGAGCTTCCTGAAACAGAAAATGCATTTCGCATGTTTACCCAAGACTGTTGTCTCGCGCTATACTTCTGTGCTTCAGTGCTTATTCCCTGCTTTCTCTCTCTCTCTCTCTCATATTCGCGACTCGCTTTTGTATGTAAATGTATAGCAATGGCAAGAAGAGATGAGGAGGTGTAAAAGAATAGAAAAAAAAAGTAACAACCCTGAAAAGTAATCCATGTCGACGGGCGGCTGCTGCGAGAAAGAAGCAGAAAGACAGAGCGGCAATTGGATCTGGAAAGATACGGTGGAGGATAAGAGGGGCACCGCAGATATGAAAAGACGTTTGTATAGCTACCTGCCGCGGATCATCGTAAAAAAGTTCACGTTACATCTACGCAAGACTGCACGCACGTAGTTACGCGACTGCTAGACGTGTTTTCCAGCTAAAACTTCAACCTATTTCTAGTACTGTCACTTCTGTTGCGTTGCTGCACCTTCCCCCGCTTTGCCGGCGCCGCTGCCGCCGTTTCTACCTATATGCTACTGCTACATTATTTGCCGAAAAAAAATTTGTCAACTTTTTCTTGAAATATTTCTCGACGTCATCTTGCACTGCACGCAGGTGCATTAAAAACCTTTGAGGTTCGACGGTATTTTCAGCTTTACGTTTCAAATCATCATTTTACCATCTTTAAAATTGTTTATTTTTCTTATTCATAATCGCCTTCTCACGTTTTTTGTATTAAGAACTCGCGATAATGAACTTAATCGAGTAGCGGTTTTCTGCAAGTCTGCATCGGTAAACTTTTGATTTACCATTTAATTCTAAGATTCGAATTCAAACTTGTATCGATTTTTAGTTGCACATGTACGAGAACGGAATAGACTCATTGGGTTTAAACACAATATACGCGTTATCGAATTTCCTCTGCTACGTATATTCAGTGAAATCAAATGTACCGCTAGTAAGTTTGGTTTTACCCATATTTCAAAATTAATAATTTAACATTTTTAACGTCAATGTGGGAGCTTTTTCTGTACAAATACGCTTATTTTCAATTACTTTCTTCGTCTGCCTTCGATTGAGGCCGTGCAAAAAAATGAAAGAGTCCTGTGAAATGTTTCCCTCTTTGGTAAATTATTCACTTCAATGAAACTCAAAGTACACAAATTTAATTATTATTCGCCGGGTTTTTAAATTCGACAGAAAAAATTAGAACAGCAAGTAAGACAATTTGAAACAAGTAAAGCTTTTTTCAAACTCAAACATTTTATTTTGAAGTAAATTTTGATAGTATTTCTTGAAAAACTAGCTGAATATTATACGAGCTCAAACATTTCTGTAAAAAAGCCTTTCCATCGATATTCAATGTGTGGGTGTGCGAGTAAGATTCAATAGCGCAGCATTGCAAGAAAAAGTACGTGCTGCGATGTTTGGGAATAAATTTGTACAGTCTAGAGCTGCAGTAGTCGTTTTAACTGGGTGCTAAGCGAGAAGAGGATAAGACATTGATGCGTGTAGCAAAAGAAGATGAAAAGAGGCTCGAAAGTCGATCGAAAAAACGACCCTCTTCTCGTTCTGTATGTTCGAGTGCAGCTCGAATACAACTTGAGCCGCACGATGTGTGCACAGGTGCAGGTATATGCGCGTATTTGTGCGCAGCGTGCACTTGAAGACCAGCAAGCGTATAATTAATTACATTATTTATGAAAGCGACACATCAAAGAGCAGCTAATTTCGCCCTGTTGCCTTACGATCGTACATGTTTATACCTTTAAGTTCGCCAACTTCGACTGCTACTTTTGTGCGCACTTATACACTCGTCGTTGTATTCGACGCTTTCATTAAAGTTAATTAATATGCAATTTCGTTGAGCGATAAATTACTGTAACGGTTCCTATAAGTATGTACACTATAAATATACACTCCAAGCACAGTACAGACCTAGGGCTGGTTCACGTGCGAACGTATAACGCACAACAGACGAACTTAATTATATAGTAAAACCTAGTTGGAGCAAGAAAAATTACGTTGTTTTCTCTCGCAAATGTTCGCTAATATTTTCAGCTGTTGAGGTCATTTTTCTATCCCGCGCTTGGTCCTTAGTGTTTGCTTTGAAAAATAATGCCACAGCCATCAGTGATCTAATTTACTAACTACCGCTCATTAATTCAACAAGCTGATTTAAAAAAAAAAAGTTAAACTGGATTGTTTCTACTAACTAAAGCAAATATCCTAATTTTCCTCTGAAGTTTTTTCAACGTTTTTTAAGAAAAAGCGCTTTGAGAGCAACAATTTGCCATCTTATTTTAAGATGCAAGTAATTAACGTTAATCTGCCATTAACGGATGGCTCGTCGCTCGACCTCTCAGACTGTTTTGCCAAAAAATTAAAAGACTCGAGTGCCCTCGAGTCGCGAGGTAGCTAGCACCGAGTTTAAAAGTATTCAGACTGTGTATGAAGTATTTCGAGCTCTCCCTTTCTCTTCTACAAACAGCCATGCACACCCACACAAATTATCAAAGTCGCGGGTGAAAAAATTTGTCTTCCGCAAAGTATCACACGGCTAATTTTTCGCGCGACAGTTGTTCTCAGTCGAGCTCGAATTTTATGAGGTTAGAGTACCTTTCTTATCGTGTTATTTAAAACGTTCGAAAAAGATGTCTGCAAAATTTGATGAATGGTCAAAATTAACAATCGACTCAGGTGTCATTTCACAACTAAGAAAATCACAATTAATGTGTCAAGCAATGTCTGCGTCTAACGCGTAGGTTTTTTCAGGCACGAAGTATTTTCCACGATGTACTCTAAATGAGCTATAATTTCTGGTTTTTTACGAACTCGTGTATGGTACACGGCCCCAAGCTCAGCTCGGCGTGTCACACGCGTAGAAAAGCGCGTTAGCAAGATAAGTAATGCGCGCACAGAGTCGAGATGAGGCTCTGCTCGCCGTCGTCGGCTTTTACTTTACAGGCGAATTATTCGTAAAGTGGCAGAGAGGCGCGTTGGAGACAAACGTTCTGCTTGACGAGTATTTCCTTAGCGTTTCTTCTTTCGCTCGCTTTATGCGTTTCCTCGAGTTGAAACGTGCACGCTCGTCACTTCTCGGCGATGCAGCCGCGCGTACATGCGCCTCGGCCTCGCTACCCCGTATTTGTGCCACTGTAGCGTCGGCATTCGTCCTGCGCGCGCTTTATCCTCTTACTCTATAGAGCGCATATATAAATAAACCTCGTCGACAATCTTCTGCTCTTGTACCCTTCTTATTCCTGACCTGCTGCAGCCGCCTCCTCCTACCTCACGGTTACTTAAACGCTGTTCCTCTTAATTCCAGCTTTTTCTTCGCGTGCCATGTGGCTCGAATGAACGTATCTGTTTTATATACCATTTATATGCGCCTACACACGAATACTCGAGTGCGCGCATATATACTTATACGACAAAAAGTAAATGATCGCGGAGAAAGAGAGAGAGAGAAAAACAGACGAGAGAGAAAAGCAGACGTCGCGTGGCTTGCTTACGCGACTTGAAGAGCAGTGCACAGAATTCAGCAAAAGACAAGTTACAGATAAGGAGACTTTGTCGTCGCTCATGCTGTAAGAGGATTGTGCAAAAGTAGGTATATTTATAGTGGCGCACATCAGGTGTGAATACTTCAAAAGGTCTTAATTAATGTTTCTCTTTATTTCCCTCAGACTTGACCTTTTCTTCATTTGCTATGTTTTTGATTATCTTTTCACCTTACAAAAAAAAGATATGACTATAACATTTTTTAATCTTTTTAATTTTACGTTTTTTAATACTTTTTTGTATCATGAGCTGTACAAGCAAATCGAAAGGTAATATTTTAATAATGATCCAGTATTATTATTTCATATTTATTAATTCTCATAAATTTTCAGGTAATTGTTGCACTAAAAAATGTTAAATTCGTAACTTGGTTTACGTGTAACAGATCCCTGTAACATCACAAGGCAAGGTATTTTGAATATTATGATTATTAGAATTCAGGTATGTTCATTATCTTACGTATTTATCTTAGTCGTGCAAGTCACAATAACTACTTTGAGCGCTACATGAAACTACTTAAAAATTCAAGTAAATTTGTATAATTGTAATTATTATGCCTTCAATTGACTCAGATATTTTCAAATTGTTTTAAAAATGTAAATTAAAATATCAAATTATCGATCGTGGGGCTGAATTAACTTTTATTAGTACTAGCTGTATCAACGCAAATTTAATTACGAATCGAGAATGCGCGTAGCCAAATGGAGAATATGCCAGCAGCATCAGCTGGGACACGCATCGAATTTTTCAGTTTCACTTTTGCTCTATGAGTACGTATACCTAGCGGATATCGCATGACTCTGCAATAATGCAGAGCACATTATTCAAATATTAAACGTACGGAGACACGCACACGTGCCTGCACCTATACGAGGCGTTAATGCGGGATCGCTTTACCTTGCATATGAAAGCGCGTGCGTGTGCAGGTGGACAGCTATACGCGCTTGTTCGGCACATATAATAATATAAGCTCGTGTGTGATAACCCTGCAACGACAGTATTTGCCCGTTTATGAATATACACGTAGCATTACACTCGCCTACGCCTTGTTTATGAATATTTTGAAATATCATGATGCACCCAAAATCTGTCCAACAAACAATATCTACTTTTTGGTAGGCCTCTTTGTACGAAATCATTTCAATGATAACTTTTTGCGTCCAAAACGCAAAATCTTACTTGATCGTTATAATTCTGGTTAAATAATTAGTATATCATTCAGCGGACACAAGTTTGGATTATTATCAAAATTAGTCTCTTAGTTTTCACGAAAATTTGTATTCAGCGACGAAATTTCATTTTAAAACGGTAAGTGGATGTAATAAAAATGTTATTAACTGATATAAAATTTAAATAAAGTGAATAATCGGTTGAATTTACTTTCGAATTAATTACATGATAATTTTCGAATAGTATTATTCTACTTTTTGCATACGTGCTCCGTGTATACGTGCAAA